TGGTGTTGTTTATGCCCGAAATTCATATCGAAGCGGCATATCACTTTCTTTACTTTGGTGCAATGTGCCGTTTCTCCAGTCACCCTGTAGGATTTACTAGTGGCACGTGCTGTAGTTTCCCCAAAACTATACGTACATCGTTGTTTTCTAATTAATACTTTTCCTGTTCATTTAGATGTTGGGGTGTGGGTAGTGCTAGTTCTTATCTCTGTGGGTGCCTGCAGTATTAAGTCAATGGAAGTTTTTCATCCTTCCTGTTTCTGTGGTTCAGAGATCTTGCCACCTCCAAGATTGTCTTCGTTCCAGCTTTTATGCCTAGGTTGTTAGTGAGCGACCTAAGCTTTTGCTTGAGCCAGTCAGCATAGCTTTCAGTTGATCTGAGGTTTGTTCTAGGATAAGTGGAAGTTCCATGTTGTGTCTTAGCCCGTTCTTACATTAACTTTCCTCTGAAGTGGGTGCCCCGATAGGATTTTATGATGGTTTGGATGCCATAGCAAGCAATCCAGACTTCTAATTCTCTGATGGTGAATATTTTTTTTTTTTTACCATCTTTCCTACAAGGAAAGGGGAATGCCCTTCCTAATCATGTGTCTACAATGGTACAGGCATGTAATGTATTCTCTGATACAGGCAATGGCCATATACTATCCATTTGTACAATTTGGAAGGGTCTGTCAGCTTTGACCTTATCTGGAATATTCATTGATGCTTTCACATTTCACAATTCTCACATTTCTTCATTTGAAATTGGAGGCGTTGGTTAGGTACATGCATGCTTCTTTTCCCCGAACATGTTCTCGTGCCATGTGTGACAGCAACGTGTTTGGTGACGTGCCCATGCCATGATCCTATCATGCATGGCATATCTGTGCGTTCGGGTTTTATGTTCCATTGTTCTTCTTGTTTATGTCTGGTTTTTCTTTTTTTTAAGTCTATTCATTTGTATTTGAGAGAGAGCACGAGCGGGCAAGGAGCAGAGAGGGAGACACAGAATCTGAAGCAGGCTCCAGGATCTGAGCCGTCAGCACAGAGCCCAACGCGGGGCTTGAACCCACGAACTGCGAGATCATGACATGAGCCAAAGTTGGACACTCAACAGACTGAGCCACCCAGGCACCCCCTTTGTTTTGCTTTTTTTGGAATTGGTTTCCTCCTTATCCATGAATCATTGTGTTTTTAAAGTTAAATTTAAGGAATCTTTTTTTTAATGTTTATTTATTTTGAGAGAAAGAGCACAAGAGGAAGAGGGGCGGAGAGAAGGAGAAACAGAATCCCAAGCAGGCTCTTCGCCGTCAGCTCAGAGCCCCAGCGTGGGGCTCGAACTCACAACCCAGAACCGCAATATCATGACCTGAGCTGAGATCAAGAGCCGGACGCTTAACCGACTGAGCCACCCAAGCACCCCAATTTTAAGGAATCTTTGCCTCTTTAGTTTTCTTAGTGAGTTTATCTACCTGGTTATTAAATTTGGTTACTTCAAAGTTGTCTTTCTGACGTGCAAGACACATATGATGAATATGGAGGTGGCAACCAGTGCTATTTTCTGCCATATGTCCTTACCCCATATGTTCTTACTTCCTATTTTGCAGTCATCTCCACTTCCCCCATGTTCCCAACGAAAGATCTGTCCCATTAGCCACCACCATGAATCTGAGAAAAAATATACCTCATTCTGATTTTCCTCCACAGATTTTTCCATCACTTGCTTCATGGTTCAGCATATTGTACTGATTCTTCTAAGACTGATTCTGTTAGTCCTCAAGGCCACAGTCTGCCAGCTACTCTGGATGGTGTCACCGACCCCGATCCTCTGTAAACCATGCGTTGTTGAGTGCCATGGTCCAGGGTGGCCCCCGTCGCCCGACTGCTCCAGCTTGGATAGGCTCCTCCCTCAGAAAATCTGGCAAGTCCTCTATTGGCATAGATGAGATTTTCTCACTTCATGCGGAAGGTTGACCCTCCTTCCGTATTACCCACCCACCCATTCCGTTTCCATGCTAGGACTTCATGGTCAAGAGTAGCTCCCCTGCGCTTGTCAGGGGTCTGCCTTACCCACTTCAGAATAAGCTGTTAGACAATTGGTTTATTTCCTGTTAGTGGCTCTGTATTTCGTAGGGCCTCAGAGGGTGCCCTGATGAAGCTTTCAATTACTTGATATCTGTTCTCAGCCATGGAAACTTCCTAGTCCAAAATGCATCTGGGTAAAACTTTGGGGTCCTGTGGTGTTTTAGTCCATGGTGAGCATGTTTCAAACCTCGGTGAGTATAATTACTCTACTTTATATCGAGAGTCCTTATTGGCTGGTACCAATGTATTTCAATCTCAGGCAGTATTTTTCAAATAGAGGCAGCCCTTGAGTCTCTGTCCATCTAAATTCTCTACTCCTCCTAGTTATTTCATAAATGTGTCTTAATATGAACCCCACATGTGGCATGTGCAGTTTCTAATATCCAAACACTGCTATCCTTTTCTGAGTTTCTTCTGTACTGGAACTTGGTATGCAAATCTGTTTTATTCATTATTGGGTCTGGTATTTCTCTGCCTCCAGGGGACCAAATTACACCTAGAAATTTTACTGTCGTGTGGAGTCCTCGGCCCTTACTTGGGCTGATTGTCCATCCTGTGAGTGTAAGGAATTCAACAGACTCAATTTTGATCCTGGTCTGTGTTCCAAGTAATCACCAGAAATAAGGATGTCATCCGTATAGGAAATAATGGTTTGTGTGTGTGCCGTTTTCATCCAAGGCCTGAAAGTCTTGTGTTAGGTCGGGGGCTGTTACCAGACTGTTCAGCTGTCCTTGTGGTGACCTAGTAACCTGGTATTGTCACCCTCCCACGGGAACACAGTCATGGGTTCCCTCTCCCGGTGAAGTGAAATAGCAAAGAACATGCCAGATAAGTCTATCTCTCTGTAGTAAGTTCCAGATCCAGCGGTGATATTGTTCATGACAGGCCTGGATCTGGGGGTGTTCCCTCAATTCTAGGAGTGTGTTTAAGTTCCTATCATTTACTGTAAATCTATAGGACCCATCTGGCTTTTTAATAGGCCGTAGCGGGTAATTACATGGTGAAGTACTTAGGCACGATAATAAATTCCTTTAGGAGTTTCTGAATGTTTCCTTTGAGTATGTCCAATTACATCCATTCCAAGAATGTTTCCTAAATCAGGACTTCTAAGGCATTTAAGGCATTAAGCTTTCATGGGTGAACTGTCATCAATTGTTAGGAATCTATGGCCCACGTCCTTGAGGGTGAAGTTTTATTCAAATCCTTCAGTTAGTCCTTTTTATTGTTAAAGAGCTCTAAATTAGTAGAATATCTTTGTATCATTGTTAATTGGAAGCCTGTATCTAACAATCTGGTGGTATACGGGGTTTTATTTATAAATGGGGTTTCTATCGATACGGCCAGCGTAACATGGGTGAATGCCTCCTTTGTCTGTCGGTGGCTTTTCTGTTAATGGGATTAGGTTTCGGGGGTTTCGTGGGGGTTTTTGGATTAGGCTTTATAAAGGGGTTAGTATTTACAGGAAAGGGATTAGTGGGTCTATATGTGGGTTGATTTTCTCTGAGTCTATTTACTCTAAAACGTTGGTTGCTTCCATTTCTCTACCACTTATATAATTTTTGGGGTTTCTAGCTGGGTTTCTATGTTTATCGTTTGTTTTGAAGAGTGGTAGTGTAAGTCTCTTTGGGCTATTTTGACCAGGGCTGTTTACACTGGTGTAGGCCTGCTTTGGCTGTCTGCACGGGTGTTAGCTTCACCTACTTCCTCAGCTGCTCGTACCAAGTCAATTCTGTGTTTCTGGTGCCTGCAAAGACGGTAAAAAATGCTGCTCTGTCCTATGGGGGTACGGCTTTTGGACTCACCTTTTAATTTGTTCTTTTCCACAGGTAGAGGTGAGAGTGCCCCCTGTCGTGTGCGGCCCATACTCTGGGAGCTGGCCTTGGGCTGCTGGGAGCAGGGTGGGGAGGGGGCACTCCAGGCCTATGGAGCTCAGGTGAAACTCTAAAAGCGCCTCAGGGTATTATAGAGAGCCCACACTCCGAAATCTTTCTGAGGTTCCATTTTATGTTATCTTTTATTTTTTATTTTTACGTTAGAGAGTCAGCATGTGCGAGTGGGTGAGAGGGGCAGGGGGAGAGAGAGACAGAATCCCAAGCAGGCTCCAGTGTGGAGCCTGATGCGGGGCTTGATCCCGCAACCCTAGGATCGTGACCTGAGCCAAAAGCAAGAGTCGGACGCCCAACTGACTGAACCGCCCAGGCGTCCCTCTGAGGCTCCATTTTTAACTGGGGACTTTCTGTCTCCATCCGGACCGGCTGCCTCTGTGGAACCCTGGACTCCGGCAGTCAAGCCTCCCACATATCTCTTCTGGGAGAGGACCCTAAGCACGTCATGCGGCCCTCCCGGGTCTGCCTTCCAGGGAAATAGGTGCATTTGTATAGGTTAAGGCTCGGAATTAAGCCGATGCCAGCTCTCCCTAAAAACCTGCCCCTGCGACTGTTCCTCTTTGGCCACTTTCCCTTTCTTGTGTCCCCGGTTACCTAGACTTACAGTGGCCACGCGTGTGCGGTCAGCACGCTGTCCGTTGGCCCGGGGCTGCAGGGTGCGCTACAAATCTGCGCGGGTCCAACTGGACCCCAACCACTTGAATGGGCGTCGGGTACAGGGAGCCCACACTCCACAAAGCGTTCTAAGGCTGCCTTTTAAGACGGTGTCCTCTTTGGCCACGTTAAGTCTTGGAAATAGGCCGTGCCAGGTGCTCCAAATAGTTTGCCACTGTGACCCGCCCTCTCCCTGCAATTGCCCTCCAGGGCCAGGCTGCCAATAAGAGCTGATAATGTGCATGTGCACACAGGCCGGCTTCTCAGGTCAGGTAGCCAGGCACCTCGATAAAGTCATGAAACGGGAAAGACAAGGTCACAGGAGTGGGCATTTCGGAGGACAAGGCGTCTGTTGGATTCCAAGCCCCACCCAACGCAAATGGGCATATTACCCTGAAGGCAGAGCTGGAAGAGGCATGTCTCTTCCAAGAAGAGACATTTGTGAACCTTGATACAGAAGATGCCTGCATGCAGATTAGGCAGCAGATTCAACTGGGGACTGTCACCAATTTCAGCTGCTGTCTCAGAGTAGGTATGGGGGGGTGGGCTCCAACCACCCTGGAACCTCTGCAGTCCTTTGGCGCCATGCCCAGGTTCCCTAGACCTGGAAGGTTCCTGCTGCCCAAGGCCTGCTGAAAGACTGCGTACTGAGCATACGGGGACTTCACGATCCAGGGTCACCAACTATCTGGAAGACGGCTAGGGTTTGCAGATGCCAAGTAACAGAAGATGTCTCTCGAGGACGCAGGGGACGCCTAATCTCAAACCCTAGCACGGTCTCCCTGAAGGCACAGCTAGAGGATCCCACACGGCCTAATCAGGGTAACACAGGGCTGCCCTCTGGTGACTCCTCCAGCGAGAGTCACCTGGGTGCCCTGGTTTGGGAGAAATCTGGGACTTTTGAGACAGCAGGTCCAAATGGGGACTGACTCTCCCCCGATTTGCAGCTGCCACATCAGAGTGATCTGAGGGGGGTGGGCTCACACCACCCTGGAGACTGCAGTCCTTTGGGTCCTCGTCCTGGCTCCTCTCTCCCTTCCCTCCCCCACTCTATCCCTCCCCCTGTCTCTCCCTCCCCCCCCTCCCTCCCTCTCTCCTTCCCCACGGAAAACTACCCAACATGGCTGTGAGCAGTTAAAGAAGGACCACAGAAGCCGAAAGGCGTCCTGTGCTCATGGATTGGGGGATTTCATGCAGGGAAGGGGGCAATATCTCTCAGAGGTATCTGCTGACTCAATACAAGTCCTATCAAAGGTTATTGTTCCTTTTTTAATGTTTGTTTATTTTTGAGAGAGACAGAGACAGAACGCGAGTGGGTTGGGGCAGAGAGTGAGGGAGGCACAGAGCCCGACGCGGGGCCCGAACTCACGAGCCGTAAGATCATGACCTGAGCCGAAGTCGGAGGCTCAACCGACTGAGCCACCCAGGCGCCCCTCAAATGTCTTTCTTCTGCATTTTCAAGCTGCTGTCCGTCTTTTTGCAGGGCATTTCCTTCCAAACATCACCGTTTTCATCTCTTAGAGTTAGATGGGATCTTTTTTATGTTTTCCATTTATCTATTTAACGTTTTAAATCTATGGACTACAGACGGTGATAGCAAATGTCGGAATGTCCTCCTCCGGTGGCTCTAGCATCATCGTCACCTCTGGGTCATTTTTCAGTGATTGACTGATCTCGCTAAGAGTCATTTCCCAGGCTCTTCGCGCACCTCAAAATCTTTGATGGGATACCAGACGTGCGGAAGTTGATTATGTTGGTTGCTGGTTATTCTTATGTAAATGTTGTTCTTTTTATATAAATTTCCTATGAATTTTGAGCTTTGCTCTGGGATGCGCTTAAATTCTTTGGAAACGGTTTGATCATTTCTGGTCTTGCTTTTATGATTTAAGTGGTCCAGATCAGTGCTCTGTCGAGGGCTGATTCGTTCCCGCTACTGACGCAAGACCTTCCTAAGTGCTCCACCCACACCCCCCGGGGTTATGAGTTTTCTCCCTTTCGTTTCTCTGCTGGGAACGAGGGCCATTCCCGGCTCCGTGTGGTGCCTGGCTCTGTTCCCTGTAATGATTTCCCCCCGACTGAGTACTTGCCTCACTTGGAGGTGCTGATCGGGACGGTTCTGCACACTGGGCAGGCCCCCAGACGGATCTTTCTGACTGGCTTTCCTCAGCTCTCTCTCCTCTCAGGACCTTGGCGACCTTGGCCTCCCTGAACTCCCAGCTCAGTGTCCTCAACTCGACAGGCCTTCTGGGCTCGTCTTCAGTTTCCTCCACCCTGCGATGCTCGGAAATCGTTCAAGGCAGTAAATTAGAGCAATTGACGGACTCAACTGTTTCCCGCCCCTCAGGGATCGCTGTCCTCTGATGTCTGATATCTTGAAGATCTGTGTTTCACGTATTTAGTCTGGTTTTGTTGTTTTGTGTCTTCAGGCAGGAGGGCAAACCCAGGTGCTGTTACCCTGTAACGGTGTTAAAATCTAAGTTGGAAAGTGTTCATCTAGGTTCTGAATAGACGGGGCGCTTGGGTGGGGCAGTCGGTTGAGCGTCAGACTTCGGCTCAGGCCATGATCTCACGGCTCATGGGTTTGAGCCCCGCGTCGGGCTCTGTGCTGACAGCTCGGAGCCTGGATAGAGCCTGCTTCGGATTCTGTGTCTCCCTCTTTCCCTGCCCCTCTGCCGTTCACGCTCTGACCCTCTCTGTTTCTTAAAAAATAAAATAAAAATTAAAGAAAATTTAGATTCTGATTAGAGGCTTTTACAGAGTACAGAAAATAGCGAAAACCAGAATGCAACTCGACTCGCCAGCTGGCTCCCAACACCTGACCTTACAGCCCTCCAGCATGTACCCACTGACCTTTGTCCCACATTCTTCCTCAACCTCTTCTTTCTGGTTTATCGCTTTACTCGGGCAAATAGAGAGTGAAACCGGGGCGTCTGGGTGGCTCAGTCAGTTAAGCGCCAGACTTCGGCTCAGGTCACAATCTCATGGTTTGTGGGTTCGAGCCCCACATCAGGCTCTGTGCTGACAGCCCGGAGCCTGCTTCGGATTCTGTGTCTCCCTCTCTCTCTTGCCCCTCCCCTGCTTATGCTCTCTCTCTCTCTCTCTCTCTCAAAAAGTAAACATTAAAAAAAAATTTTTTTTTCAACGTTTTTATTTATTTTTGGGACAGAGAGAGACAGAGCATGAACGGGGGAGGGGCAGAGAGAGAGGGAGACACAGAATCGGAAACAGGCTCCAGGCTCTGAGCCATCAGCCCAGAGCCCGACGCGGGGCTCGAACTCACGGACCGCGAGATCGTGACCTGGCTGAAGTCGGACGCTTAACCGACTGCGCCACCCAGGCGCCCAAAAAAATTTTTTTTAAAGAAAGTGAAACCACCCTCAAGCAATAGCGACTGCCCCATGTGACCTCCAGCCAGCCCTGACATGACCTCCAGCCGGCCCAGACCACCCAGACCAGTTTGAACTTAACCCCTGACTCCTCCTTGTGCAGATGGGCCCTGGAGTGACCTCTAGAATGACCGATGACTACCTTAACCCATTATAATACTAAAATCTCCACCCCAGAAGGAGCCTCGGCCTCATTGACATAACAAACAATGTCTGTGTAGACATGTTTCCTTAAGGCACATGGACAACTTCTACCTACCCTACATATGATGACAGGGCTTCCCTATCTAAATATGCATCTTAACCCTAAATGAAAGGAGCCCACTCACCCCTGCTCTGGGAGTCCTGGTTTTGGAAGCCACTCCCCATTATCTCCTTATTTGCTACAACTGAACTTTTCTTTGTGACAACTCAACCTGGTGCGGCTTCTGACTCACCAAGGAGGGAACTCACATTGGTTCCGTTACAAAACCCTGCAGTAAAGAAAACACTTAACGCTTGTATTTGAGAAGCACCGCACCAGTTCTGGTGACAGGTTTTTGTTTAATGCTTATTCATTTTTGAGAGAGAGAGAGAGAGAGAGAGCACAAGCAAGGGAGGGGCAGAGAGACAGGGAGACCGAGGACCAGAAGCAGGCTCCGCGCCGACAGCAGAGGGCCCATGTGGGGCTTGAATTCATGAGTGGTGAGATGGTGACCTGAGCTGAAGTGGGACAGTCAGCCCACTCAACCGACTGAGCCACCCAGGAGCCCCCTAAGGGCAGTTTTTGCTTGCCTCTGGAGCAAAAGGAGAGCAGAGGCGCCCTCTCCCTTGCCCAGGAGCTGGGTGGATGGAAGTTCCTGTGGGGTCTGCGGTGAAAGCCCGCCCTTCGCCGCTCGACATGCCCCCGTGAGAGCATGTCAGCCTTGATGTTTCTTTCAAGGGCCCCCCAAGGGAAGGACGGACAGGACTGCCAAGTGGCCTGAGGGGAAGACTCCGCTTTTTCTGAGCTTTTGTGGGGTGTCCCTGGCTAACACTGGGCCCAGACTAACTTCTCCCTGGGGATGGAGGGAAGGACAGAAGCTTTGCCAAATCCCCGGGCTGTCATCCGAGCACTGAGGGAGAGGCAAGGAGGCCCGAGTCCTCTCCTAGGCACCTCGCTGTGCTGCTCCAAAACAGACCAAGAGAGGCCTCCACTCACAGGATCGTGATGGGATGTTTGGGGTCCAGGAGCAAATGGTCAAGGAAGAATTCTTGAGGAGCGCCTGGGTGGCTCACTCAGTTCAACGACTGACTCTTGACTTTGGATCAGGTCATGGGATCGAGCCCCGCCTCAGGCTCTGCGCTGAGCATGGAACCTGTTTAAGATTCTCTCTCTCTCCCTCTGCTTCTCTCCCCCACTCATGCTCTCTCTCTCTCTCTCTCTCTGTAAAAGTAAAAATATTTAAAACTTTATTTAAAAACAGAAAGAATTCTTGAGATGTTCGGTGCAAAAAAGGTGCTTTTATTAAAGCGTAGGGACAGGACTCTGGGTGGGAAACGCTGTAACGGGGATTATGAGGGGTGACTGATTACATACTTTTTAGTTGTGGGGGGAGGGGAGGGAGAGCTAAGTCTCCAAGGAATTTAGAAGCAAGGCTTCCAGGACCTTGAGGGGCTAATTGCTGTTAAGATAAGGTTATTCAGTACTGTGTAGTAGAATATCAGTCATGAGACCCTTTCGATGTGTATCAGTGTGCTATATGTTGAAAGGTGATCGCTAACGTGTATCTTGTGGAGGGAGGAGGGTGTTGAGATAAAGGAAGTTTCCGAAGGGATTTTCATCCATTAAAGAAGACTTACAGGACCCTGGAGGTCAGGCCCCTGTCAAGCTAGGGTTGCTCGTTGCCACTAAGCAAAGAATTAACATTAAGGCAGGCTCACTCTGCCTGCCTCCAGTACTTGTCAATGGCCTGCAAGTTGCAAGGAGATTTCATTTTTGCTACATTTCTTTTGCCTTTGTTCTCGGTATCAGATCAGACTACAAAGTTCGCGTACCTTACCTGCTACACAGCAAAAACTGGGCTAGATCCCGTGTATGAGTTGGGGGTCTCGCTGTCTGCTCTCCTCGTGCTGTGAGATGTAGCACGTGTCCCCCCCCCCCACCCCCACCCCCGGGGTGTCTCAGTTCAATGGCCAAAGCCAGCTCTTTCCCAACCCAGCCCAAACTGCAGAATGGAAATAGCCCAGAAGTCAGAATCCCGGCACTTAGATTTTATTTTTTGCGAAAAGCTGCTTGCCTTGCGTAAGTATTCGGTAACACCTCGTCTACACTAGCCTAAAGATGGAATTGGCTTCTTACCACCCCTTGCTGGGGAAGCGGATCCCCCCACACCCCCACCCTGCAGCAGCTTGTACAGCCGCATCCCACACGCCCGCCGGGGGGCAAGGACCCGCGCGTCTCCCGTCAAAAGTCGACTTCAACTCCCTCCACTTTGACCTCAGGCTGTACTTTCCAATTGGTTACATTCTTTCCACCTTCTCTCTTAGCTCAGGCAGAAGACTGCTGGCCCAGCATCCCCTGCCGGAAGCCGCAAGTACCCCCCTCAAGCAATAAGGACCGTCCTGCGCTAGCAATATCCCACCCACGACGAGGACAGCCTGACCTCCCCTGCGCACCTGCACGTGCCCACCCGCCTCGGTCCCACGTTGTCCTTATAGAAGCCTGGAAGCATTTTCGGCACCTTGGAGACAGTCTTTGAAACCCCAGTCCACGTCTTCCTGGCATCAGCCTCGCTGAAGTAAATTCCCTTCTTGTTTCACCTCCACCCGAATCTCTGCCTTTGGATGCTGCAGGCTGTCAGTGGCCCAGCCTGGCCTGTGTGGGGCCCCAGGGGCCCGGGGCCCTTGGCCGCTGCGCCCCCGCTGCGCTGTCCATCAGGTGAGCCCCAAACTGAGAAACATGCCCTGGTGTACGTGTGGGAGCTCTGACTTCTGCCCAGGACAGCTTCACACCCTTCCCCTGCACGCACTGGGTCGCTGGCCTCCCCACGGCCCTTCCCCAGCCTCCCAGCCCCCACAGCACTCGTCCTAATAAAGTTCGAGCAGCAACTCTGGTACTTGCACAGCCCCGGGATTCTATGGAGAACTACACCCTTGTGCTGCCTGACTCACACCCCTGGCATCTAGGGTCACCCCGCTCCTCCAGCCCACACCCTGCCTCCTGCCCCGCCCCCACCTATTGTTCAGCGGTGGTCCTCTTCCTCCTGCCCCCCAGCCTCCTCATCCTCTCCAGCCTGATCAGGACTGGGCCAGCCCGCCCACCCCCGATTACCCAGGCCAGCCACCCCAACCACACACACACACACACACACACACACACACACACACACACCTGCCAGGCCAGCCCCCCTCCACACACACACCCAGGCCAGCCATATACACATACACACACACACACACACACGCTAGGCCCCCTTCATCCCCAACACACACACATCCACACACACACACACACACACACACACACACACACGCACACACACACACACACACACGGCAGGCCAGTCCTCCCCCATCCTCCGGAGAAGCATGGGCACATCTCTTTCTGGCCAGAACCAGGTTTAGAGGAGACTGAGCAAGATAGCTCTGAGGAACGAGGCCTGGGCCGCGCCCGCCTGCTGCCAACCCGGCAGAGGTGTGGCCAAGAGTCGGGAACCCCTGGACGCTCGGGGCTGACACCTGCCCCTCAAGATCCTCCCACACTTTGCTTCTTTGCGAGGCGACTTCCCAGGGCAGTACCGGGGCGCCCCCGCGTGGCCTCTGGGGGAGGCGCACAAACATCCCGAGTTCAGGCAAGGGCAGGTCCAAAGGAAACCATCGCGTCTGCGCCTCTGCCCCGTTGAGACCCAGCTGAGACTTTCCAGCAGGAGGTTAGCGGGGTCCCAGGCACCCCACCTCTGTCACCGCCTTCCCTTCCGCCACCACTGTGCACTTCCCCTAGGATGAGATTTCTGCCAAGTCGGCCCTTGGAGGGAAAAAAGCCACATCTGGAAAACAAAGCAAAACAATTACTCTGCAGAGCCTGGTACTTGGGCAATTTGATGGTCATCCAAGGAGCACTTGTACGGTTCTAATTTGCCTTTAAAAAAAAAAGTTTATTGACTTATTTTGAGAGAGGAGAGCACGAGCAGAGGAGGGGCAGAGACAGAGAGGGAGAGAGAGAATCCCAAGCAGGCTCCTTGCTGTCAGCACGGTCTCGTGAACCATGAGATCATGACCTGAGCTGAAATCAAGAGTTGGACACACTACAGGGCGCCTGGGTGGCTCGGTTGAGCGTCCGACTTCGGCTCAGGTCACGATCTCACGGTTCCTGGGTTCGAGCCCCGCATCGGGCTCTGTGCTGACGGCTCAGAGCCTGGAGCCTGCTTCGGATTCTGTGTCTCCCTCTCTCTCTGCCCCTCCCCTGCTCATGATCTATCTGCCTCTCAAAAATAAATAAACGTTAAAAAAATTAAAAAAGAAAAAGAGACGGACGCACTTAACTGACTGAGCCACCCAGCTGCCCCTGATTTACCTTTGTTCTGCTTTGCTGTTCCAGGTTGTGCCTTGAGGTAGTGTCTTAACTTCACTGTTGAAATCAGAAAAGATATTTTTTAGTTCCAATATTAGTAGCTGGCACCTCAGCAAATAGTGTGGTGGTAGAAGCAGAAAAACACCACCCCTTCCTAGGAGGTCCCCGTACCAGCCCCTGGAAGCTGTGAATATGTTCCATCACAGAGCAAAAGTGACTTTGCCAATGTGCTTATGGTAAGGACCCTGAGGCGGGGCGACACGCCCTTAAAACTGGAAGAGTCAAGGGCACCTGGGTGGCCCTGTTGGTTAAGCATCAACTCTTGATTTCAACTTGGGTCATCTCACAGTTCTTGAGTTCAAGCCCATGTTGAGCTCTGTGCTGACAGCTGGAGCCTGCTCGGATTCTGTCTCTCTCTCTGCCCCTCTCCCACTCTCGAGGGCTCTCTCACTCTCTCTCTTTCTCAAAATAACAAATATTAAAAAAGGGGGGTGGGCTCTGTTTCTGTCACATAAGGGAAAAGAATATAATTTACCAAAAGCTAAAGATTAGACAATCTTCCTCTCAGATACTTTTTTTTTTTGCAAGTAGTTTTCTTAAGGCAAAGAGCTGCTTTTCAACATCTCATAGAGTGGATTGGTTGACTGGATCCTGAGCAGATCTGGGATTGATATGATGTCAGATGTTGTCGCTTTCCTAGACGTTATGCGTATAAAATTCTTGCAAGCATCTCTGACCTGTCCATTGGTTACTGATCACATTATCAGCGCCACCCCCCCCCCCCCTGGAAACACAGGGGTGAAGGAGAAACTGCTGAGACCCGGGAAGAACCACAGGCCTAGAGGGCCCCAGATTTTGCTACTCTGTCTAGAGCGATGCTCGGTGGGTTTGCCGATATCTCATGCGTTCGGCTGATTCTGCCAGGAAATATCTCTGAATCGACAGTCAAGGAACCTCAGGAAAATGTTTCACCCCGTGTGAAAGCAAAGGAGGTGAAAGTGGGGTGTGTCTGCACGTCGGGCACGAGTCTGGTGAGGGTGGTGGTAGTTCTTGTTTGCTTTACATTTTTCACTGTTTCTAGGAAATAACTGTGATGTGAGAGCTTTATTCTGTTTCTGGAAGACAAAAGGACATCAACTAAGGACTCTCCCCAAGGAATCTTTTAAGACCTTTATGTCAACGTTTATGGAATGACTTATACACTGTTCAATTATTTTTTCTCTATTTTTTTTAACGTTTATTTATTTTTGAGACAGAGAGAGACAGAGAATGAACGGGGGAGGGTCAGAGAGAGAGGGGGACACAGAATCCGAAACAGGCTCCAGGCTCCGAGCTGTCAGCACAGAGCCCGACGCGGGGCTCGAACTCACGGACCGCGAGATCGTGACCTGAGCCGAAGTCGGCCGCTTAACCGACTGAGCCACCCAGGCGCCCCTACACTGTTCGATTAAAGAGCCTTGGTTAAATTCATTTATAGTTTTGGTTCAATGTATAGTACTAAATTTTTTATTTTTTTTAATGTATATTTTGAGAGAGTGTGTGTGTGCATGAGCAGGGGAGGAGCAGAGAGAGAGAGAGAGAGAGAGAAAGGGAAAACCCCAAGCAGGCTCCACACTGTCAGCACAGAGCCCGACACAGGGCTCCATCCCACAAACCATGACCTGAGCTGAAACCAAGAGTTGGACATTTAACCGACTGGGCCACCCAGACGCCCCTAAACTATGCTCTGCAGCTCACCTGCATCGCAACTTTCTGGGGTATTTATGTAAGAAATGCAGATTCTGGGTACCACAACAACTCAATCTCTTGGGACTGAGACCAGGATGTAGCTTCTGTCTCCACTACTGAGTCCCCCCAAATCTAAGAAGCATGCTCTCACTTTTGCAGATTGAGGATTCTCACAAAGCAACAAAGAAGGAAAAGCTTGTTCTTTCAGACCCAGACTTCAAGCCTTAGACTGTGAGCTTTTCAACAACAAGGTGTCTTCCCTACTCTTCCACACTCAGCCTGGAGACTGGTGCCGGACTTGGAAACAAAGCAGGTGAAGAAAAAGTGTTGATTTCTTTTTTTTAATGTTGATTTCTTTTCTTTTTCATTTTTAATGTTTATTTTTGAGAGACAGATTGACAGAGTGTGAGAAGGCAAAGGGCAGAGAGGGAGGGAGACACAGAATCTGAAACAGGCTCCAGGCTCTGAGCTGTCAGCACGGAGCCCGACGCGGGGCTTGAACTCACCAGCCGCGAGATCCTGACCTGAGCCGAAGCTGAACGCTCAACTGACTGAGCCGCCCAGATGCCCCAAAAATGTTTATTTCTTTACATATATTTTGCTTTAATAGCTACCAAAGGCTGCGTTTCGTTCCCTCTAATGGACCCTGTCCACCAGTTACGTTGGCCCTCAACATACCGCTAGAGCAACGCGTATGAATATGTATCATACATTTAGACCCACGTATGCACGTACTAAAGCGCCGTGAGATGAGCCCAGGCTTTCTCACAACTGGGGGCCTCTCACATAGCATGTAAAAATCATCACTGGTTTGCTTTTACACAAGACTTTCAATGGACTTGCTCTGGCCATTGGTCACAGTGCCCCAGAGAGGACTTAGGATGATGAAAGGGGACAGGATAGTCACAGTGAGGTCACCACAGTCTGGAGATCATACAGAAATAGAAATAGGAGGTGCTAGGCTAAGCATGAGTTGGCAGGTGGGGAGCCTCGACTTTCACCATGCGGATTCAAAGCACTCAGGTGCTGCAGTGTAGACTGACATCCAGCCTGACCGTGACCCGGCTGAGCGAGCCTCGGTGGGTATGGCCCTGAGAGTAGTGCTTGCTGAGCCCCGCTGTCCATCGTGTGCTTTAGAACTGCCGAGGAGCTCCTGCGTCGGGACCATCTGCCCCATCTGTCGGGTTGACCCTCTGAGGATGGGCGCTGAGGGGACACATGGCTGTTGCTAGTTCCCAGGCCACCGTGGCATTCAAAAGCAGTGTCACGAGATCCTCTACAAACCATGCGTGTTCTCTCGGTGTGGAGCCAGGCAGACCTTGGCCGGTGGTGTTCCTTAACTGCAGGAAAGGCTCTCTGCTTTCAGCCCTGCCCTACCCGGCCATGTCTCTGGATCCTTCTGGGCCCCCCAGCAGGTGTGGAGGAGTGGGACCAGAGCTCCTCCGCAGTGGGGGAGGTCCATCCTGCCTGCTGTTTGAAGGACCTCAGGTGACTCCTAGAAGGGGAGGGTCACAAGACCGGGGTACAGAGCAGAGCCCTTAGAGGTTTCACTTGGTGACAAAGATGACACAAGCTGAGAGTCCATTACCAGACCCTACCGGTGGCTCCCTGAGGCTGAAGTGAGAACAGAACGGTGGCAGCCACAGGAGTGCTGTGAAAGCGTGGTCGGTGGATGAGTTGAGGGGGGGGGACACTGCAGTGTGGAAGAACCACTGAAGCCACCACGTTAGAGGCAAAGCTTCCCGCACCTCGGTGATGATGGCCCCACACCTCAAGAGGGAGAGGTAGGCCCTCAAGAGGGAGAGGTAGGCCCTCAAGAGGGAGAGGTAGGCCCTCAAGAGGGAGAGGTGGCCAGAACCTGCCAGTCCCTCTTGAGGGGCCGGGTTACGCTAGAATTCACTTGAGAGTGAAAACGTCTTCGGTGACCTCCGGGGAAAAGAAGTGCTTCCCGTGATACGTGGACACATAGAAACAGCCTGTTGTGGGAAGGAGAGGACATCTTGCAGGAAGTCCTCCTGTCAAGTTCATGTCCCATTTACTTCGGGGGCGAGGGAGGGGGCGAGTCAGCAGGGAGCTCACTTGAGTCTGGTGCCACCTCTTGGAGATGAGGGACCAGCCGAAGCCACACAGTCAGTCAGGGACAAGCCTGGGATTGGAATCCAGGCCTCAAGTGCTTTCCAATGGCCTCTTGGAAGCGAAGAGGAAACCTCCAGACTGGGGGACGCTAGCGGGGAAGGGGAGCTGTGAGGTTACCTTTGCTGGGGCCGGAGCGAGGCTTTACGGAGGCCATCTTGTAAAAGCTCTTCTTTCTTTCTTTCTTTCTTTCCTTTTTTTTAATGTTTATTTATTTTTGAGAGAGACGGAGACAGAATGCGAGTGAGTTAGGGGCAGAGAGAGAGGGAGACACAGAAGCAGAAGCAGGCTCCAGGCTCCGAGTGGTCAGCACAGAGCCCGATGCGGGGCTTGAACTCACGAGCTGTGATCATGACCTGAGCTGAAGTCGGACACTCAACCGACTGAGCCACCCAGACTCCCCTGTAAGAGCTCTTCTAAAAAGTCTCAGGAAAGAAAAGAACCACCAGAAAAAACACAAAGAGGAATTAGACCCCCAAAAAAAGGCAGGGTAAAATCATGGCTTGACCCGTTTTCACGCAGCAGGCTCAACATTCTCTCAGGTTACAACCAAGGAACGTTCTGGGGAATATGCTCAATTGCTTATGGCAAAGCTTTAAGTTCAAGTTAAAAGGGTTAGTTTCTGATTTTCAAGCCATGTCCTACACCTCGAGTCTCTTCAAAGTGCTTGCGAGGGAATGTGTTAGTGTTTACATAAACGTACAGAACAGCTCTTCCTGGAAGTTTCAGGTTTCATTTATCATCACATTTGCTTTTATGCCAGTAAGATCCAGTGGGTTTCTTTTGCAATGTTGCTTAAAGAAAAAGACGTATCAAAATCTGATTGCTGTTCTCAGCCCCACAGTGTGCAGTGCAATTGACTTAGTGGGTTGCCTCTGGCTTTTACTTTTTCGTCAAGTGGTATGGGAAAAACGGGAACACACAACTGGCCCTAGGATCCCTTTACTGGAAGCCAATTCGGACGCAGACTCCCAGATGTCCTCTGACATTGAGAACCAACTGAATTGCATTTCTCCAGACCCCAAACCATCCAAAAGGAGGGATAAGTGGGTGAGGAGAGAGGAGGGTGACAATGTGATAGGGAACCAAGATGGCAGGGGTGGGAGGGGTGACAGGGAAGGAAGCTACGAGGATGCTTACTGAGGACCCGTGTCCTGCAAGAGGCCTGGAAATCTTCAGCCGGAAGGTCAGAGCAGGTCGGGGATCACCTGTAGACTCTGAAGACAGACGGGAATGGGTTTGGGGTGGGCTCTGTGGCTCTGACTCGTGCCGTGGTCTCCTTACCTACACATTCGTCTTTGCCTTCTTCAAAATATCACGTGTCGTGGTCACTGAAACAGTGGAACAGCCCCACGAGGCAGAAATGACCAGCTGGGCCCAGACCAGCCCCGGGTGTTTGTTCTAAAGGGTGTTTTTCTCATCACTCAGCTCAAGGTCTCCTGCTGTCCCCATGCACTCCTCCCTCTGCATCCACAATTACTCGTGGCCAGGAGGTTTGGGGACATCACATCAGTCTCCCCCCTCCCCTGGCCTCTCTGGTCACCATCCATCCACAGCACAATTTCCTCTTCCATTCCTGGTCGGCAGTCTTCAGACTCTCAGCCGTGCTCTGCAAGAGTCTCTCCTGTCTGGACAGTTTGGTTCTCAGTTCCAGAAGTTCCTTTTCTTGGACTGTCCTTGGGGAAGAGGGACAAGCTCTCTGTCAATGGTCAGAAGTGCTCTGTGTCTCTTAAAATCCAAAGTAGGATTCTACAATCTTCCTAACTACTCCTGGACTGGAATCCCCCGCCCGTGAAAGTCTCTAACAGCCTCCAGATGAGGCCAGATTAGGATGAGGCCATTAGATGGGACCATTGGGAACCTGGAAGCCCCCATGCAGATGTGCACGGGTCTCCATGCCTGTTGCTGAAGAGAGCCTGACCCCGGGCAGTACTGGAACCCCCAGCAGTGAACAGGAGCCAACAGTGTTGACATTAGTTCATTTGCCCGGGGAATCCTGAATAAGACTTGCTAGCTAGGAATATTACACTGCACACACAGAGCTGGCCTGGGATGGTCAACGGTTTTGTAAATATTGATGTCAACGTCAAGATGGCAAAATATACCCTCTCTTGGAATTAGCATAGTTGAGTCCCTCCCCAAGGGTCGACAAGATTAATCTGACCCTAGAATCCCCGGGAGGGACTGGAAAACCTTCACATCCAGGGCTCCGCCAAACAGAGAGCAGGCCTGGGGGCTGAGGGCACCTGGGGGGCTGGCTCTCCCCAGGCCTGACCCGGGGACGCTGAGGTACCGATGTGTCGGCATGCAGCGGGTGGCTACAAGTGGCTGTCGTCTCTCGCGACGTCCTGTGGTCATGCTTGACGATGCAGACGTGGGGCTGGGGTGGGAAAGTAGGCATTTGCACTTTCACATGACCCTGAACTTCAGCTCAGCCAGCCTTCAGAGAGTGAAAGAAACGGGTTTATGCGTCTTCCTTCTCTGCCTTCTTTATTTCTGTCCTTTCCCTCTTCCATTTCTTCTCCCTGGGGGCCAGGGGTAGGAGGGGAGGGTACGTCGTCGGAGTTGCAGTGAAAGCGGCCACCGTGGATGACAAACCTCCGACCGGAGACATGCATCTGAGGTCTCATCTGCCCCAACTCACCATCCGGCTCCTGATCCGTAGGACTCTTGGGACGGAGGGGACGGAAGCAGGAAAGGACACTGTCTCTCACCACATGGCCGGGCAGCGCGGGGCTGTGGGCTCATGGAGGCTGCAGTGGGAACCGGCCCAGAGGGAGGTCAACTCCTCCTCTCGGGGTGCGGGGCCCTCGTCTTCCTCCCAGGTTCACGGCCCCCTCGGCTGCCCGGCCCCCAGGAGGAGGGGAGTGGCCGTGGACATCACCGGGCTTAGAGATGGGTGTTTTTTGAGCACCGGGCTCAGGCTTCCTTCATGAGTGAGGCACAGGCGTGGGCCTGCTGGACGCTGTGAAAGCCTTTTCTAACCTCCCCACCTCAGCAGCGACCTCCCACTGGCAAGACTCCCCTGGACCCCGGCTTCCCCCACACTCCTTGAGCTTCTAGGCCTGCCCCATGCTTCAGAGTCAAAGGACCCTGCTTCTGGAACTGGCACTCCTGCCCTACCCTAATCCCACCTTCTGCTTCACCTGGCCCGAACGAACCGCCTCTGTCTCCGGGGACTGAGATACGGCTGCCATCACGTGCAATGTTCTCCTCCACCCGGAGAACCTACACAGCCATGAACCTGTGACTTTCCTGGCCCGAGACAATGTTGCTTGCA